TTGTTTCTATTTAGAGAGAAACATGGCCCACAACGATGAGGCCGGGGGTTCGGGCGGCAAGGCATTCTGGGAGCTGTCCCAGGAGATGGAGGAACAACCTCACTTGTATGAGGCCGCCGCCTTCCCCACCGATCCTGAGACCACGGATGGTGCCGCCGAGGATGACCACACTGATGCCACCACTGATGGTGCCGCCGAGGATGCCACCACTGATGATGGCGGCGCACGCACAGATAGCAGCCAGCCGAAGAGGCAACGGAAGGACCGGCGCCCGATCGTGCTCCGCACCCTCAAGGAGGAAGTTACTGAAGTGGACTCCAACGGGAATCCAACGGCGCCCGAAAGAATAGTCAAGGGGTACTCGCTTCAGCTCGGGTGCATTGTCCGGAGCACCGTCTCGATCAACACCGAGAACCTGAGGCATCCTGACCGAGGGAATTTGCGCAACCTCCTCTTCACGAAGATGCACGAACGATACAAGTTCCCCGCTGAATTCGAAAACACAAGCCTCAAAGGGAATAAAGTGAACAATGCTGCCCTCACGAAGATGAGCAAGGCCCTGTCTACTTGGAAAAGCAATGTGAAGAGAATGATCGAGAAAGGTGAGAGTTATGAGAAGATCAAGGAGAAAAATCATTCGATCACCGAAGATGACTACAACGACTTCAAGATCAATTGCTCGAGCACCGCAAGCTCCCAATCAAGTGAGTGGGGGAAACAAATGCGGGAGCTGAACATAGGGGAACACACACTCGGTCCCGGCGGTTACAGAGTGGCGGAGCCTATATGGGACAAGGAGGAGGCGGACCGTGCCGAGCAAGGCCTACCGCCCCTCTTCGATAAATACGGTGACAAGCAGACCAGGAACTTTGTCAGGGCCCGGTACAAGAAGGACCCGAAAACAAAGGAGCTTACCACGGATCCGAAGACCAGGCGGCTTGAGCTTGTTCTGGTAAGGAATACACCCCCGCGTAATTAGCTCCATATGGTTGCATTCTAATTAATGAAGCCGAATTTCTAAATGGTTCACATTCCTTCCGCAGGCGACTGAAAGGAGTAGCGCGGGGTCGACTCAGAGCAACCCTTGGGACACCACTCTAAATAGGGGGTTGAATAGAATGAAGAACAAGGATAAGCTCAGTAAGCCGACGTCAGCTGGTCGTGTGGCCGGCAAAGGCTTGTCGACAAAATGGGGGTCATACTATACCGCTGGTGTGCGGAAGGAGAAAAAGACCAGCTCGGAAAGCCAGGCGCGAGAGGTTCAAGAACTCAAGGCACAGGTGGCGCGGATTCCGGAGATTGTCCAAGAGCAAGTGGAACAACGACTCAGAGCGACGATCACCGCCCTTGTGCCTACCTTGATCTCGGGGTTGAGTGCGTGGATTGCGGGCGGCCAACAGGGGCCGCCCCCGATTCCTAGCTTCACGGCCAGCAACTCGCATAATGCGATGGCGGGGCCATTGGTGCCTCCGGCGGAGGCGGCATTGGTGTCTCCGACGCCGGCACGGGAGCTTAATGCACCCGGGTGTACGCCGGCCGGCACCTCTGCAGCAAGCGGCCCCTCCGTCAACTGCACGCCCGCCGTTGGCGGTGCCTCTACATTAGCCGAGCTCGACGCCATCATCACGGTAACTAATTAAGCCTCTCTCGGCCGAGGACTTCATCTCCTTGCCTTTGACTGGGCATCCCTGACGCCCTACATGTTTTCGCAGGGCGCCGCCGACGTTCCGTGCACTCTCCTCCACTTCGTGAACAACGAGTTGGTCGATGTCGCCAAGGGCAAAATCGTTCAACCGGGCAACCCCTTGTTCCACGGTACCCAGATGCCACCCAACTTGTTTAGGGTTCAACTGGTTCGGGTGCTGCCAGGCTGCGACGACTTGTTACCTCCGAATCGACCCGTCAGGGCCGACGATGATGACGTGATGAACCTCAGCGCCTGCCTGAGCTGGCCCCTGCTTTGGCCGAAGAGCCAGATTCGTTTGGGGGCGGGGGACACCACCCCAAAGACAACACCGCCAGTCGTGCCGGCGCCAAGTCGGCCCCATGGCAAGACCGCCGTAACGGTGCCGGACATCCCTATGCCACTGGATCCAAACATGCATATGGCACAGGATCAGAACGGCGACGACGACGACTATGATACATTTGGCAACGTCGATCAGTACTTTGCCGAGCATGGGTACGATGGCGACTTCATGGGGCCTCCTTCTCAAGAACCAAACCCAACAAAAGACGTGTGCGATCTAGCTCGTACCGCGGAGAAGCCAAGTTGCAACAGGCGCCGTCTGGCGTTCAGCTCTCAGGAGACGCCTCCAGCTGCCGACTTCACCGAGCCTCAGATAGGCGAGGTGCGAAATATTATCAGCCCCAACACACTCAAGAAGGCGGTCTGTGAGCAAAACTCGGTCCCATTACAGGAGAAGAAGAAGGCACGCAAAAGAAAGACTAAGAAGGGTGGGAGCCAGCCGGCACCGAGTACGATCCGTGCTCAGGACGGGCCACCTTCACCTAAGGATATCTCGAGGAGGGTGCATGTGGCGGGTAGGGCGATGCTACCACCAAATATGCTCAATGCTGCAACCGGTGCTATGCGGAGTCTGCACGACAGTGTCCTTTCTTTGGAGAAGCGGCGTCTCAGAGAGAAGGATGTGGCATACCCGGTTTTCGTGGCCAAGGTGCCAGAGGGCAAGGGCTTTGTGGATGGCGACATCGGGGGTACGATCGTCCTGCGGTTTGATGACATCTTTGCTATGTTTAACCTTCATCCGCTGCACTACACCTTCGTTCGGCTATTTTCGCTGAGTATGGAGATGCGGATCATTCGCGACAAGACCCCGGACATCGTGATAGTCGACCCCTTCTACATGCGTGCCAAGATCTTGGGCAGCGCTGGGGACCGGCAAGTCGCGAGTTCTTACCTCGAAGGCGTCATTCTGGCAAACCAAGATAAGGATAACTTCCTCGTGCCTTACTTTCCCGAGTAAGTCCTCCCCTCAACCGGCCCGTAACATATGAATTCTTACATTTCGATTGTTTTTCTTTTAACATTCCGTGTTTTCTGCAGTGACACACGTTGCACGCTCATCCTCCTAAGCCCCAAATATTCCATGGCCACGTATTTCGACCCGGACCGTCAGTCGAACGTAGACTACACAAATGTCAAGAAGGTTCTTGATGATGTTCTCCCCGGCTACGCCAAATCTGGAGGCACCTTCACCAGGCCTATTCGTAAGTACGGCAAGCACGTGTTCTCCCACAATACGACGTTCTGCTGCGTCAAGCAGCCGCCTGGCGGTCAGAAGGGTGCCTACTACGCCATCCATCACATGCGGGCGATCGTACGGGACCATCATCAACTTCTGCTACCGAGTAAACTCCAAGATTGGGCCGCGAGCGTGTCGGCAATCCAGGACGCGGACCTCCGACAAGAATTCTTTCGCATCCAGTCGGAGTTTGCGGAAATCATCCATCAAGATGTCCTTCGTACCTCGGGGCAGTTCTACCTCAGAAATCAACCGTCCAACAGTGACATCGACACAATGCTACAAATGCAGGATGACAACGCCCGTTCTTTCATGACTTGCACGATAGACGGCGGCTTCATCCACGCTCCGGTCCCTTGAGTCGAGTTGTCTAGTTCTGAAACATCGATTGGCTCATGTTGTAATTAAACTTTAATGAACTTGTAGTATGTCTCTTTGGTTTCGAGAGTCGTTCAACTTAGATGTAATCGATGCTATTAATGTCTTGCTTTTCTCTTCCGATCGTTCTGTTGCATACTTATATATTGCTTATGTATTGTCTGTGAATTGGTACTAACGTTTCGTTTGGCTAGTGCATAGCGATGCCGACGTATGTCGTGTACAAGGGTAAGGTTCCCGGAGTCTACGATGACTGGGAGGAGTGTCGGAGACAGGTTCACCGATTCAGCGGTAACAGTTACAAAGGGTACACCACTAGGGCCGAGGCCGAATCTAGATACGCCCGCTATCTAGCGGGAGAGGGAAGGGAGCGTTGGAGGAACCGGATGAAGACGAGTTTCATCGTGATGATGCTCATCGTGATGACCGCAGCTCTCTTCTATGTGATGGTAGTTTAGATGATCGATATCGACTTGTAATGCGAAGATAAACTCGCTACTCGCGGTCTCGAGACTTGTAATATAATGTTCTATCTTTGTTCGGTCTTTTCAATTCGGAGACTAATATGATGAATTGTATTCGGAGACTAATATGATGAATTGTATTCAAAGACTAATCTTCTATTGTATTTGATGAATCTATTGTTGATGTGTGCTGTCTATATTTTGTCAAATTATACATTTTGTAACCTGTGCAAAAAACAGAAAATAAAAAAATAAAAAAAACCTAATATTCATACTAATGGCGCATCACATGACAGTGCGCCATTAGTATGACAGTGCATACTAATGGCGCATCACCGGGTAGTGCGCCATTAGTATGCTGCGGTTACTAATGGCGCATCCAGAGGTGGTGCGCCATTAGTATGCCAAAGCACCTGGGTATACATGCCCCCTGGGAGGCATACTAATGGCGCACTCTCGCATATACTAATGGCGCACCAGGTGGTGCGCCATTAGTATACCAGATACTAATGGCGCACCAGGTGGTGCGCCATTAGTAAAAATTACTAATGGCGTGCTATCAATGGCGCACCAGTGATGCGCCATTAATGGCCATATTAGGTGCGCCATTAGTAGTGGTATTTCTAGTAGTGGTTGACCCAGACCTAGTGGCTGATGCGGGGCTCAGAGTCGAAGAAGGTGCCTTCTACTCTTCCAACTGTGGTTGGTGCCTTGGGATGAGGATGGTCGATGGTGTCTCGAGACATGGATGCTGGGGTGGCGGTCCCGGATGGTGGTCTGCAAGGATGGCTCGTCAGCGGGTGCCATGGCGGTGGCGGTGGCTATACTGTTGGTTGTCAAGGCGGCAAGGGGTGTAGCGACGGGTAGCTCGGCACACTATTTGTCATTGGCAATGGGGTGCCTAGATCCAGATCTGGAGGCTGGTGCACATCGCGGGTGTCCTTGGTGCCTCGTGGTGGCACGTGTGAGCTGCCGAGCGAAAACTCTGCGCTTTGGCGCCGACAAAGGCGACATATGTGGGTGCTGCTATCCTCATGAGGGCGATGTTGTGGTTCTCCTCTTCGTGCCAAATCTCTGGGTGAAAACCCTCGTTTGTTTCAGGCTCGGCTATGGCCATGCTTGGCGCCGTTTCCCGTCGCAAGGCATTGTCGTGGAGCTTAGGTGTCCTGGGGCATCTCGCGGTGTTGTAATCTAGTTGTCCCATGTTTTCTTTCGGCTTCATAGTCGCGTGCGTTTGTGTTGTCCGGGTATCATGGGATCTGCTTTGTAAAGAGGGCTACATCATCATCTTGTATCGTTCGACCGTGTAACTTGGTTGTGATGCTTTATATATAAAGCGATGTCCTTTTCGGAAAAAATAAAAATAAAGCGATGTGAAAGTCTGTTTCAAGAAGTGTTCTGTTTCCATTTCCATTTCAGTTTCAGTTCCGCATTTCCTTTTTTTTCATTTTTGCTCGAGACAAGTGAAAAGTTATAGCTCTATAACTCCTTTTCGTTATATAAGATTCTTACTTTGGAATTGGCAAACACATTTCTTTACATTCATGATTTGAGTTTCTATTTTAGCGACGAATTGATGATGATTTAGGAATCTGATAACGCTCCAACGCCAGGTGTAAGCACAGGGCAAGCCGAATGTTTTCGATGGCAAGTTTAATGACGCGAGGATGACAACTGTAGTTGACAAGCATGGCTACTTCGTGCTTTAGTTTATTTTTGACAGAAAATTACAGTGTGTGTCAACTAACTTGTCATTCTTGTGTCATTAAACTTGTCATAAAAAAACGTTTCATTTGTCATGTGCTCGAATTTGACGTCAGATACTTATCATGTCGGATGATTTATCTTGGATGCATAGAGGCATGACGGTGGCGGTGGCGGTGGGCTGGTGGCAGGTGAGAACACGAAGGCAACTCCAGCGAAGGAGGATGCAAAGGAGTAAGCTCTAGGGTTAATTAGTCTTGGGAGTCCAGACCGAAGGCACGTCGCGACGGGCCACACAGGGACGGCGCGTTGCTGGACGAGGTGCGTCGACCCAGTCAGCCACAGGAACAGAGAGCGCTGGAAAGAGAAGCCCAGAAGGAGGAAGAACATGCGTCAGAATCAGGATAGCGTGAGCCGTGAGGTTTGATCCAACGGCACACAAATCATCTGACTTTGTGCAACCAGCGCCTGACTTGCGTCACTTGCGCGCCCAGAGTACTTATTACGCAGCGGGTACCGGTGTGCCGTACGAGTGTACGCCAAGTCGCCAATGGCATAACATGCGATCACTGACAAGATGTCATTTTTATAGTAGGAAGCACGTAAGGCAATGCCACTAAATTCCTCCATGATTCGCTCCTCAAGCCATGCCCATGTGACCTTGCTAGCTCAAACACGGAATACTGTACAGGTTGAGCGGCCATTGTCGCCGATCGCGTCGTCGTTCCCACTTCAGTTTTGCCTACTGCCCTGCCTATAAAATCCCCCGGCAATGCCGATCCATCCGGCCATCAGACCACAGCTGCCGAGTTACTTGACAAGTGCCACTGGCTACTAGTGCAAGTATGGCTCGGGTCTCTGCCAATGCAGTTGCACTTGTTGCACTCGTCTCCGTTCTTCTCACGTATGGCTGCTGCGCCCAGTCGCCGCTCAATTACACCGGCTCCTTGGCCAAATCCTCCAAGGCTAGCTGGTCATGGCTCCCTGCCAAGGCCACATGGTACGGCGCGCCTACCGGCGCCGGTCCCGATGACAACGGTACGTGCGTACGTGCATATGCTCCGGTGGTGGCCGGCGGCGCATGCTAATGTCAACTTAGGATAGTTAATAACAATGTCGATCGATCTGTGCAGGTGGTGCTTGCGGCTACAAGCACACTAACCAGTACCCGTTCATGTCCATGACTTCCTGCGGCAACGAGCCCCTGTTCAAGGACGGCATGGGCTGCGGCGCCTGCTACCAGGTACTACGTGTACATGATAAATTAATTACACTACAGCGCCGACGCTGATGCTAGTCATTACACTAGATTAGTCAAAGCTAACAGTACGTAGCTCCGTTCACACTGATGAAATACGTGGGTAGCAATCTCGGCTCAGAAAAACATGTTACGTGTAGCGCATTAGTTGACTTTCTGCTTGTTTTTCCAGATACGATGCGTCAATAACAAGGCCTGCTCCGGCAAGCCGGAGACGGTCATGATCACCGACATGAACTACTACCCTGTGGCCAAGTACCATTTCGACCTCAGCGGCACGGCGTTCGGCGCCATGGCGAAGCCCGGCCAGAACGACAAGCTCCGCCACGCCGGCATTATCGACATCCAGTTCCAAAGGTCCGTAACTTCTCTGGCACAACCTTGACCACAGTGGTACGTACTCCAAGCAAACCCTTGGGGCTCTGGTCACTGATCAGCTCCGCTCGTGCATGCATGCAGGGTGCCATGCAATCATCCGGGCTTGAACGTGAACTTCCACGTCGAGCGGGGCTCCAACCCCAACTACCTGGCCGTGCTGGTGGAGTTCGCGAATCGGGAGGGCACCGTGGTGCAGATGGACCTCATGGAGTCAAGGAACGGCCGCCCGACGGGGTACTGGACGGCGATGCGCCACTCGTGGGGCGCCATCTGGCGGATGGACTCCAGGCGCCGGCTGCAGGGCCCCTTCTCTCTCCGCATCCGCAGCGAATCCGGCAAGACGCTGGTGGCCAAACAAGTCATCCCGGCCAACTGGAAGCCCGACACGAACTACCGTTCCAACGTCCAGTTCCGTTGATTGCTCCGAGCTTCCGATCGACCGACGAAGACGTTGATTAATTCGGTACAGTGTGAATGCAAAGTATATTGTTGAATTTTACTTACTACGGGGTATATGTTGCGTCATCGTGCGTGTAGCTCGAAGATATGTGTGGGAATGGAAGGAGGCTTTAGCATGGGCAGCCTGGCCCAAAAGCCTAACATCCAGGCCGGGCTTCTGTCTAGTGGAGTAGTATCCACGTGCTACCCAGCCCACTATCACCAGATTCACAGCTTGAATCTGATATATTGTAATTAATCAGGTTTATCCATATGCATTATGGGATACCAATTGTGTATTCAGTCTGTCTCAAAAAAAAAATTGTGTATTCAGTCAATCAGATGCTCCCATCATTTCTAAAAGTCCTAGTTTGCTATTGGTGAATTGACGTTGTGACATATATTTTTTTAAATACGGAGGCAAAAATTTGCCACATCATTAGGGATGCCGGTAAGTCCCAATAGTTCGGGATTTGACCATGAAAAAATGAACGTTTTTCGTGTTAATTTATGTTTGCTGACTATGGCAAGTTTAGTTAGCAAGCATGGCAAATTTACACTCGGTTCATTTTTTGCCGGGAAATTATCATGCTCTTAAAAAAATGTCATCATCGCGTCAACTAAAATCGCAATAAAAACTTTCAATTTATCATGGTCAAAATCCAAACGTTCAGGATTTATCTTTTTTGTTCATTAAATTAGAAGTTAGACAAGAGTTTTAAGACACAAGGCCAAGAGGCCAAAAATTACAAAGCCACTACTCTCGAGGCAAAATCTGACCCAAGTATTTCGCACCAGCAATGACCGAAAGCCTTGCCTCATTATTATTTTTGCAAGACCCTGGAACTCTGCTCGCCCCAAATTGCCCTATTCTAACATAAACCAAGAGAAAGGCTACATGGTGTACACCCCTTTCGAAGCCAATCAAAGCCCTAGATGGTGTGGGGCCCATGACCAGCGCTTCTTGCAAAACTGCGTGAGGAAGGGTCAGAAAACCTCCACCTGCATGTGGCCCTAATACATGCACAAAAAGGTGGTGTAAGGTGGTATATCACCTTTTCAAAGCCGCTCAATGGGCCAGATGATGTGGACCCATAGATTTAGGTTTCGCCCATAAGGCTGGTCATAGTGGGAGTAACATAGGTAGTAACATAGATGCCACATAAGCAAAATTGGTGATGTGGCAAGTAGTTAATGAGGAGAGAGGTAAATAGAGTAACATAATATGTTACCATCACATAGCGGTTTCCAATGCATAATGAGTCTATAAAGTAATAAATGAAGGCAACTATGTTACCACACCTATGACACTACCCACTATGAAGGTAGTAACATAGACTAGTAACATATGTATGTTACTAGTGTAAGTTACTCTCCACTATGACCAGCCTAACCACGCGGGTGGGCTTGGAAACTGTTTCCAAATTCACGGTTTCTGGTGTTGAGAGAGAATGTGATTGAAATATAGTAAATGCAAAGCCTATTTTTTTTAGGAAACACAATATAATATTAATTATCCAAACTAATATAATAACAATAAAAACTATTGAAGTCGAGTAGCCCAAAAACGATACTCGACTTACCGGTTAAAAGCCAAGTGTAGCCTAAAAAATCGTTCGGCTTACTAGTTAGAAGTTGAGTGTAGCCTAAAAAGTCGGTCGGCTTACCGGTTAGAAGCCAAGTGTAGCCTAAAAAAGATACTCGGATTACTAGTTATAAGTCGAGTGCAATAGCAGACAATCTCTGCGTATAGTTGGCG